ATACAGTAGAGCGTCGATTTTCCGAATCAATTGGGGACTGGGGTTGTCCGGATAACTGATATTTCGGATAACTGATTTACGTACGAAAAAATAGTTTAACGTATCCGATGTCGAAATTTTTATCCGTTGCATGTCGCTTCGCGTTGAAAAATATAAAAATAATAAAAAATTATACTTCAGATGTTAATTTAGTATCAAAAACGTAAAATATTTGAGTAGCCCAAGACATAGCCAAATATTGAAGCGCCACAGCACTGGCGAAAATTTAAATTTGCCAACTTTCTTTCGGATGATTGACGTTTCGGATGATTGACTTTCGGAAAATCGACGCTCTACTGTGTATATAAAAGAACAGTCTTTTCACATTTCCTGAAGATTTTAGGTTGCTTTAATTAGATTGTTTTGCAACTCATCGACTCAAATGAAAGTAATATAGATACATACCTTTCGTGCTAAAAAAGTTTCTAATGCCTATTTTAGATTGCTATTGTTACGGGATTGCGGTCCAAAAATTAAATAAACACGCGAAAAACGTTAACGGATTTATTAAAACCCTTATAACATGCAATAGAAATAAATACAACACTTATTAATTTAAAACAACGTAAGAAATCCGGTATTGCTCAAAGACGGAATGACGTTTTAAATATACCTCGCTCGCGGTATGTTCTGAATAAGCTCAAATGCACGAACTCACTCAACTGACTCATTCGAACTGATTGCAACGCTTACATAGGGAACAGAAGGTACTAGAACTTTCCCGCTAAATCTGAACTTTGAACATTCTATAATCTTCGAGTCTTACCACAGACCATCCAGGGCCCTTAGTCTCGAGTTTTTCGTGTTACAACTTCCAACGTGTTGAAGCTGTCACGTGGTACGATCTCACACACCGACGTCAAATCGGAAGTCTCTAGTTATAACTCATGCGCTTTCCCATCTCACCATGTGATTTGCTACTCATGTTGAGTCGAGCATGTGAGATTGCTACACGAAAGTGAAAATGGCTAACGGATATGCTATTCTGGTCGCAATCGAAGCATTAAAAAGAGCCGAAAGAGTTGTTTAATTAATAAGGCGACTAATTTTTCGACCACGAATAGATGTCATTTCTTTTCGTGTCAAGTCAACACTAATAAAAATATTTTAATTCATAATTGATAAATTATACAGCAAATTTTTCCAAAAATAAAAAGAAGTATTTAATTCATCGAAAAACAGAATTAAAATGATAGTAAATTATATGTATAAATTATTAAGATTATTTATTAACCAGAAGTGTTAAGCTCTGATTAATAAATAATCTTAATAAACAAAACAATTTAAGAAATAGATCGAGAAAGAAAACTATACGAAAAAAATTAAATTAAAATACTTTTTCCATTACACAACGAATTTTTTAGTTCCAATACACAATTAAATTTTAACTAATTCTCTCCACAAATCTAATTGTCTATTTCTTGTAAATTTGTTGTCGAATTTTCCACTGTTCATTTTCTTATTATTTTCTATACATGTTACTAATATTTGTTTTTGTTCTTCGCTTATTTTCTAAAATAAAACCTTGGAGCCTTCCATTTTGTTTCTGCGTACTATATTGCTATAAGGCAACTTTTAACTGTAGCACGTGTAAACTAATTCACGTTGATTTGTTTACAACTTGTTACAGTTAAGTTGATTGGTCGAATCATTATAGTCGCAAACCCAGATGAATTGTAAATAATCCCATCGTGCTTTACGACACACATAAACGAGTGAATATGACCTACTTCCGCTCCCCTTTCGAGTTCGCTCGATCGAGACTACCAATTATGTGTCATAGTAACACGAGTGAGTTCGATGACGTCAATTCGAGTACAACACGAAAAACTCGAGACTGAGGGCCAGACTGAACCGTTTGACTATCAAATAAGCCAGGGGGCAAGTGCCACACCCTGCCCAACCGTGGCTACGCCCCTGTAAGAGACCACATACTGTACTAACGAATAGTAATTGCTTACAATGTGTTAAATTTTTCGTAGCGGCAGTTAATCCGTTATCAGAGATGCTCGTATCAATCAATTAACATTATCTAGAATAATTAAACATATATATGATACTTTATGAAAAACCAGATCAAAGTATATTATTTCTTACTAAAATTAAAATTTATTTTATATAAATATTTAACAATTTTAAGAAGAACAATCAAATGATGAAGAACTTGAAAGAGCAAAAAGAAATTTTGACATTTGTAAGATAATTATTCAATTTTCAATTTGAATTATTATAAATTAATGTTTGTATTCAAAGTAAATAAAACATAAATTAATTAAATTATTTTTAATCACTAAAATGTTAAAATAATTTTTAATAAAAATTATGATAAGAAATTGATTTAATATAACAAATTATGCTCATTAAGTATCCTTTTATTGAAGAAGTGAACTAACATGATCTGATTTTATTTATTTTAATCAATTATTTTAGTATTAAAAATAATTTGTAGACTATATTATTTTTCGTTTTTATAATATATAGAAACATTTATTGTAATAATAATGATTAATATGAATTTCTGCTG